TATATATATATATATATATATATATATATATATATATATATATATTATTTTGAATAAAAGAATAGATGAGTTTTCTTGCTTTAAATCTTATCAATTTTCCACCATTGATATATTTTAATCAAAATTTATGTTAAATACAATAAGTGCACAATCTTAGAACATACTTTTTATGTCAAAAATATTTATGGTTTTTTTATGTTAGGTAAGAATTTTACGTGAATGTGGGTGACATATATTTGCTTCACAAAATATTTGACGTAGATTTATGTAAGGTCGGATGTAAAATTATGCGTTTTTGGATATTTTTTTTTTAAAATTTAACCGCATTTTGTTTAAACTAAAACTCGAAATAGAGAAACATACCAATGTTAATTTACATAAATAAACCTTACTATTATATGATTTGCAGTCTGAATGACATAATAAAATTTAAAGATATGAGAAATAAAATTGTAATCAATAACATATTAGAAACATTAGTTCATGTAAGATATGAGAGTGAATTTGGAAGTAAGGTTTGTGAGAATTAGTGTAGGATTTGATTGATGTGATAAATTAAAAAAAATTACTTCCAAATCCACCATCACTTACCTCCAAATCCACTCAAATAAACAACAAAAAATTTACCTTTAATTTCTCTAAAATTCATTCAATCACTCTTTCCTAAATCTATTCAAGTGAACAAAATGTAAAACTTGCACAAGCATTCATGCAATATCAAATGACGAAAAAGAAAGAAAGAAATGGTGAAGAAAAAACATAAAGTCCAAATTTAAATAGTTTTATATCAATTTATGAGAGATCAACATAAATAAGTTTCAATTATTGACAAAAATGTATTTTTTAATTATTTTTCTCTAGATTCTAGATATATAATATAATATGACATAAAAGATTAATTTTGAATTAGTTTATAAACTAGTGATGATTTCCTCTATTTCCATATATTATGTACAAAATCATATGAAAATAATATTAAATTGATTGATGTTATCATCTTAATAAATTATTAATTTTTATTCTTAATTTATTTCAAATGTTGGTATGTATCATGGATAAAAATCTTGTATTTATTGGGATAGTGAGATTATTTCGTTAAATTCGTTTGAATAAGTGATATATTTATTCTTAATATACTTTAAAAAATGATATTAAATTGCAGTGCTAATATGAACGGACAATTTCCATATTTACATTACCTGAGCACTACGGATTCAGATTTTCAATATAATTCAAATTTAAAATTTTTAAATTTATATTTGATTATTTAATTTATTGGATTAATGTAATACGAACTGTTCGAGGATCGAGTTTTTCAAATTGCTAATTTATTTAAATCCATTATTTTAAATTAATTTTATTCTGAATAAATGTAATGAATCTTTAACTAAATTAAGAAATGTATGATTTTAATAATTATGGATTATAATTTTATAAAATTATTTACTATTAAATTTTATTGAAAAATATCATACAAAAAATAAAATATTAAATTTTAAATATATTTAATAAATATTATCAGATGTTCATAAAATTATAATATAGTGCCTGAAATTAATTATAATTATCTATTTTATTTATTTAATATTATCCACTTATCCGATTTAATCCAACATTAAATTTATCTCGGACTTCTTGGAATTAATCGATGCAGACTTTTTGTTAAGGCTAATCCTATGTTCATTATTGTTTAATGGGTGAACATGAAAATTCAAAACGCTATCACAAATGTCTACATCTCAAGAAAATAATGCTACAAGTGTCTTTCTAGTTGTTAAACTTTTATGAAATGAAAAGTGAATATACCATTAGAATATATCTCATCAATTAGAAACATAATAATCAAATATGTATAATTAAAATATTTTATAAAACTATTTTTATGAACTTGAATTAAATTTAGAGTATATTTTTTAAGATGATATCATAATTTATTAGAATAAAATCTATTGGATTTATTGTGATATTTGCAACGAAATCCTTTCACATATATTTTTCAGAGATATGATAAATAGGAATAGGACGTTATGTTCAAAAACTTATTATTATACTATTAAAATGGTTAAATAATCATAAATAAACATTTTTTTAAATTAGGAATAAATTTATAGAAAATAGTCAAGGCTCAGAGTAATCGCTCAATAAATCATACAAGTGTGCATAGTTGGCTTGAAGATACTTAAAATTTTTACAAAATATTTAAATAACCTGATGAAGAACTATATATTACAGCAATACTTCCTATTTCTATTTCTTAAATTGAAAATTTTAAATACGATATTTATTGAAATCATGAACAAGTGATCATTTGAGACCTTGATAATTTCTCATAAATACACCTAAATTATAAACTGAAGTTGGGAAGCTTTACAACATTTGAAGTTCACCAAGATCATCCATTAAAGAAGAATCCACACTAGCTATTCTTTTCAGATGCCTTGAGAAATCAATTTCAACTTTAATTGCTATCAATAATAGCTGATTTTATCACTGATTTCAAAGTGGCTAATGTTGCAACCAAAAAGGGGTGATGGAAAATCAATCCTTTTCAGACACAGTATCAGGTTGCAAAACTTTGAAGAGAAGGAGATGGTTCTTGAAGAACCAGGGGCCACTGATCACAATCACAGTCATGTCACCATCAAGTTGATCACTAGAACAAATAGCAAACACCAAGAAAAGAGGGGAAACATATCATAAAAAAAACAACACCCTTTCATCCCATTAATGTGCATAATACATTTGTAGTTGCTGCTATATATATTTAATATTAATATTCATTTGTAGACTCAAACAAGTCAATCCTTGAGGACAACATAACCAAAAGAAGAAAATAATTTACAATAATACTGTATAATCAACTTCTTTTAATCTTTGTTTTGCAGAGAACCATGAGTAAAGCAATAGAGGGACATGGTTAAATCAACGTTTTTACACCTTTTGTAACCGAAGAACAAAAGGGAGAAATAATACACTAAGAAGGGACAGCCATGAAAGCAACATTTACCTGACATTTTGTGACACCATACATGTGGCTGAATATCATTGTTTGGCCATCCCATTCACATACACACATTTTCTTTTTATCATCACTTTGTCTTGAAGCAAACCAAACCATTTCATTTACCTTTGAAAACTCTACACCAAATTTTCCTAATCACGTGGTAAATCTGGGAATTACAATAAAAAAAAAAGTAGACCCCACTCATTTGCAAATTAGTAAAATTGTAAATTAGAATAGAAGTTGTTTTTTGTTTGTGAACTATTTTTTCTTGCTCTTATCTCTATTATTGGAGAAGATTGAGCCAAAACCAAAAAGGTTTGCAGAAGGAACATTCAGAACAGGACTAACTCTAATACCATTAGCGTAGGAGCCATGGCTCCTCTTCAATGGAGGCTTTTGATGGTTATTGTGTGATGCCAAGGATTGAGGGTGAGACCTTGAGATAGAGGAAGAACGTTTCTGGGAATTTTGCTTAACATGATGACCCTCCTTTGAGAGTGGTATCCTCTTAACACTTGGGGAAGACCCTGTTGAATTGCTTCTAGACAAAAGTGGCAAAGGACATAAGCTTCTCCCATATCCACTTCCACAGCTGCTGCTTCTCTTAAATCTCCAGAATGACTTGGAACTATGCTTCTCATCAGCTTCCTCATTCAAGTCCTTGCTATCTTTGTGACTCTCTTTCTTTGAGCTTTTTCTGGTGGTGGCAGGGGCATTGTCACAAACAGCTTTCGAGGGTGGTAAGGGGGGTTGAGACGGTGGTGCTAGCTGTTGACTTTTTTGCTTCAAAACAACATTGTTGAGGCCCTTCTTGATTTGAGTGGGAAGGATAACCCCATGTGAGAAAAGCTCATCTGCTGAAGAGGATTCAAGCTCTAAGCTTTCCTGAACACAGAAATTGAAGTCAATGCTTGAGCTCAAGCCAGATGAGTTTGATCTCAAAGGGTGCTTCTCAACTGGAATAACATCTGATTGCGAGAAGTCATGAGAGAATGAAATCCTAGGACTCATGGACGATACCCCACAATTCTCTGAGCAAAGCTCAACAACCATTTCATTCAATTCAAACTTTTTGATATAACTAGAGCAAACCAAAATAAAAAAGCACTCACACCAAGATTCTAAATGGAAGGGATTGTTGTGTGTTTTTGATTAAAAAGGGGACAGAAGCGCACCAAGGTTCAAAAAGTTGGTAGCAAAATTGAAGCAGAATAATCAACACCAACCGAAGACTGCAATGGGAGAAGAAGTCATGGTTTTCAAAAGAGAAAAAGAAAGTAAGAAAGAAGGTTTGAATTGTGTTAAACTATGCGTGTAAGGAAATCAAAGTGTGCAAGGTTTTTGGTTTTCATGGTGCAATCCGAAGTGGTGAAGAGAAAATGGATGTAATGGGAAAAGGTGGAAGAAAGGGTGTCACTGGAGATAGAATGTGGCATCTGAGGCTCTTTGATTGAGAATTTGGAATGAAAATGGTGAGTGGTTTGTTGAAGAAAGATTCAAAAGGTTGGTTATTTTTGGTGGGAGAAGGTGGTAGAGAGATGAAAAATTGAAGACCATAGACTGATTCAACAGCCAGGGCGATGGTTAAGAACCTTCATAATGAAAAGAAAAAAAAATTATATTGTATTACTTTTTGTATAAAAAAATGTTGAAAGATTGATACTTGATAAAAATAATACATGTGACTCTTTAATAATGTTTTTGTTCTCAAATATGTTATTGTTTTCAATTTGATATCCGACCTTTTATATTTTATCATTAACACAACATATTTATTATTCTTATTCTTATTATTATAATAATATTAATACTAATAAGGGATTTCAAAATGAAAATTTAAAAATATCTCTATACTTATTTAAAAGAGACAATATAATAATAAAAATTGAAATATAAATAAATATGTTTCACACTAAATTGAAAATTTTATAAGAATTATAAGGAATAATGATTAAAAATATATTAATGGAAACTAAAGGCAAAATTTAAAATATGTAAACTTTACAAAGATTAAAATCATATTAAGGTAAAAATTTATTATATAAATAACTTAATTACTAATTCTAAGTAAAATAATTTTCTAATTGTGCTTATAGAATTTAGTTTTCATAATATACTCCTATTTTAGTTTCTGTAATAAATTTTTAAATAAATATTGTATCAGATGTGTCTGAATACATCTCGATTTATGAGCTTAGATATATTTGACCTTTATCATATAAGGACATCCCATGATGGTCTGACCGACTACGTATCGGCCAAGATAACCTTTATGCATAGTTTGACTATGTTGACCATATTAACATGAATATTAAGACATCATTAATAAAATTGATTAACCAAAGACTAATCAAAGTGATTAACTACATGGATATGTCAAGGTAAGACAAGCTCATCTAGTAGAAACCCTTGTCTTGGTTTCGAAGTTTAACTAAATAGCATGAAATGAGGAAGACTAACGAAGAAATCTGTGTGTATGGAAAGCTAACTCTAAACTAGAAAACCACTTAAACCAACTAGGGAAGAATATCCATACTATAGAAACAAACACTCAGATAAAAATCCCTAAACTAGAAGACCAATCTTAGTAAATAAAACACTAGGTTAGAAAACCCTAACTTAAGTTAAGAAACCAACCTTTAGTTTGACATTAAGACAGAAAAGCTTTAGGATAGAAGACAAGTCTTAAAATAGAAAAAAATCATCAAACAATAAGGTAGAACATCCAAGAAAAACCAACTCTGAACTAGAAGGAATACGAGATTAAGAAAACCTAGATTAGGATAGAAGAACACCTAGCCATGAGCCAAGAAGGGCCACTGAAATCACAACCTCATAAAGATAGAATAGAAGACAAGACTGAGACAATAGGATAACACTCTAGTTAGAAAGAACATGCCTAAAAGTATTGATGACTGTCTAGGGGAAAGGATTAAACAACAAAAAAACTAGGTTAAGAAACTTAGTACAAAAATATAAGAAGAAAACATAAGATGCAAACCTAAGACAAACAATTCAAGATTCTTGATAACAAAAATAACTTAAGATAATGATTAGAAAACTTAAGGTGAAGACAAAAGACTTAGAACTTGGAACCCAAACACACAACCAGAATCATCAATATAGGAAAACCTAGGAAAACGCTCAGGCTCACAAAACTTAGGAATTGAAACCCAAAACAATTACAAGCTAGAACCAAAATTCCCAATATAGAAAAACCTAGGGAAACACTTAAGTCTTAGGAACAGGAAAACATCTAGGATAAAACACACACACGCATGGCTAGATGATGTCTTGTCTGAAAACATCCAAGAGAGATTGAGTTAAACACTCAATGCCTATAATACCTGAAATAGGTATTAAGCTTCTCTCGAAAATAAAATTGGTCGACACAATGTCTATGACGAAACATATTAATATACTTAATTATTAAAGTGTACAAAAAGGCTTCAACCAACTAAACGCTATTTGTTCAATGAAGAAATCTAAAGAAGTGTTTACTTATGATACCATGAGCTTAATAAATACCTCATCTTCTGATGAAGTATATATCCATGCTAGGTATCCGTTGTGAAAAGAGTTTAATTAAAAAATGCTACCTAACGGCAGAAATTCATAAAACACTTTGTTTTTCTGAGCAAGCATTAAATGACGTTAAATGCTTAATATTCAAAACGAGATCTATTGACCCAAATAGTTTCACCATTTGGCGACAATCAGATCTCCAAAAAAAGGTTGTTTACAATTTCTTTTTTATTTTTGGAGTTTTATTTCCATGTTTTTACAAACTTTCTTTTAGTGGTTGACATAATCATCCTCTAAATTTTGTTTTGAAATTTGGTGTGTTATCTTTTCATGATTTTAGGGTGTTGCTCACAAATTTTCAGCTCATTTGGATAATGTTTAAGTATACTTTTAGTTTTACCCCTATGTATGCTTGTGTTGACTTTGCATAATATGCGTTAACTTAGTGCATGACAAGAGGCAATATGGGACTTCTAACACCCTTTGGTCCTAAAATAGATAGGACCTTCCATAGATTAGTTAGTTAGGAATTCTAGGAATTTATCTTTATAGTCTGTACCATTAAATAACATTAGTTTCTATAATTCTAACCATTCTCCGTTTATGCATACTGCTTCTGATTCTGATTCAATTGGTTCTTATACTAAGAATAATATGTCTCAACCTCCACCTTGTGAGAGGACTATTAGGGAGATGATTGCACCTGATTTCACTTATGAGAGCTTGTGCATCTAATATCCTTATGAGGATGTTCCATATGTTCTCAAAACTAGACTAATACATTTACTGCCCAAGTTTCATGGTCTTGTATGTGAATGCCCTCATAAACATCTAAAGGAATTCCATATAGCCTTTTCCACAATGAAACCTTCAAATGTCCTTGAAGATCACATTGTCTTAAAGGCATTTCCACATTCATTGGAGGGTGTGGCAAAGGATTGACTCTATTATCTTGCTTTTAGGTCAACCACTACTTGGAATGATATTAAGAGATTGTTTTTAGAGAAACTTATCCCTACATCTAGGACCACAACCATAAAGAAAGATATTTCTAGGATTAGGCAACTTGGTGGAGAGAGCTTGTATGCGTGTTGGGAGAGATTCAATAAGTTATGTGCAAGGTGTCCACACCACTAGATTTCTGAGCAACTCCTTCTTCAGTACTTTTATGAGAGTCTTAACGACATGGAGAGGAGTATGAATGATGCTGCTAGTGGTGGAGCCCTTGGTGAACCCTACTAAGGCTAGACATTTGATTGAAAAGATGACATCTAACTCCCAACAGTTCAATGTAGGAAATTATGTCATTGTTATTAGAGGAGTTCATGATGTGGTTGTTGATTCCTCATCCACAAATAAGAAGGTGGAGATTAAGCTTGATTCTCTTGTCAATTTGGTGACCCAGCTTGCTGGTAATTAGAAATTTGCATTTGATGAACGTTTATGTGGTATCTGCACATCCAATGATCATTATACAAATTTTTTGATAGGGGGAGCAATATAAGTGCTAAACACAATCCTTGATGTGTTTGGTTTTTGATGATGACAACACATTGATTGTAACAACACATATATGTTTTCATGGCAACAACAACAATGTGTATTTGTGATTGATATACATGTTGGTATGTAAATGTTTCTTTATGATTGATACATATGATGATATGTTATTTGGTTTGCATACTTCTATGATCATAATTGTGTTTATATCTATTGTATGCATACTAAATGTTTTTGTGTGATAAAACCACTTGCACAATCTATTATGTGTATGAAGTAATCGATTACAAAAGTTATGTAATTAATTAAATCCATCAGATAGCCATTTGCTTAAACTAGTGCAAGCTACAAGTTTTAACCGATTACATTATGTGTATAATTGATTAAAACTCGTGTCTTTGCAATATATCTTTCTGGATTGTGCTATGATGAGTTTTGTGTTGAAAATGCCTAAATGTTGTACTTAATCGATTACACATTTTATGTAATCAATTAAGTTTGTTATACTTTGAAAACTTTTTGTTGATAAGTCTTAATTGTCTCAACGGTCATATTTTTATATGTTTTTACTTATGTGATAAAGTCAATCGATTACATTATGTGCTTAATCTGTTAAATCTATTTGAATGTTTTTTAGGTGTAACTCTGTTACTAATGTAACCGATTACATTATTATAGTAATCGATTAGATTGCGTCTGTTGTGAGAAAACTATAAAATGATGCATTGCACACTACTCTATAAACTTTTGATCATTCTACACTTTCATATATGATACTTTGTGAATTGAGAAAAGAGTTATAGGTGTGCTGAGACGCTCCAAGAAGCAAGATGCACAGAAGTGGATTATCTTGAAGAATAGATTTGGGTTTTCACTATTGATCAACTACTGCACTACTGAGGTGTACTCTTGATTGATCAAATTTCGTTCTTAGCAATCTTGGATTTTGTTGTTCCCTGTGCATGCGGCCAGGAAGAAGAGCGATGAGTTCTTTCTACTTTAAGAGGTGTCTCAAAGTGTGAATGCAAAAGAGGATTGTTCTTGTTGCAGGGTTTTGTTATTGGCTATATTAGATTAGTGAGTTGGAGAGGTGATTACACTTAAGAGGTAGTCTCTGTAAAGCCTTGTTGTAAAAACTCATATCTTTATAGTGCAATTGGCTTTCAATCTCAGTGTTAGAATTAATGAACGTGCACTTTTCAACACCAAGAGGGGGGTGAATTAGTGTTTTATAAAAATGTGCACTTTTTAAATCTTTTTCGCAAATTAGAATGATCTTGAAATCTTTCTTCTTCAGTAAGAAAAAGTATGTATGCAATGAAAAATGAAAAGAGATAAGGAGAGAAGATCAAACACAGTTTTTGTCTTGGTTCGACCTCAATGCCTACATCTAGTCACCCTCCCAATCAACCTTAGATTGGAGAGTATTTCACTATAATGATCAGAGTATTACAGCCAAGGCTTTATAGACCACACTCAAATGTAAACACCTTACAAACTCTCAATCAAACATAGAACACAATACACCTGCAAACACAAAACCCCTTGTCCCTGTTGCAGAAACCCTTTGAGAATCCCTTGTCAAAGTCAAGAACTCCTCGCTCTTCTTCCTGACGCCCACGTTCACGGAAACAACAAATCAAAGGTTGCAAAATGTTCTCCTGATCAAACCATATGCACCTTCAGTCGTGCTAATGTGATCATCCAATACAGTCCAGTTAATTGCCTCTCAAGAATTCCTCAAGATTCTTCAAATTCCTCAAGATATCCAAGATTAGGGCTTATAAGTCTGAACCACAATTTGGAGGGAACCCAAAATTTTTTAAAGTTTCGCGCACAAATACTCAAATCGAATTCACAGATTATAAATTCAATTAATTTTCTATACAACATCAAAAGTGAAATCAGAATATTAATCGATTTTATTAATTCTGTAATCAATTTAGTTTTGTATCATAGTTTCACACAAACAGAGAAACAAACACAAATCTAATCAATTTCACTAATAACGTAATCGGTTAAAATTTGTGAAACCTGTTTTTCATCCTATTTTGCATAATAAACAAGCAAGCAACACTCATACACATCAATATACATTCACCAATAGAAACAATGATGCATGAATGCATGGACTGATAGTAAATGTTACCATACAGTGTTATTCAAGAAGTTTTGATATGTCCCATTGTAATTCATCCTTGAGCACTTGTCTGTTGCTTTGATCAGCTCACTTCCTTGCAAAACTTTCAAATGGTTTTGTTGCAAGTACCCAGATGAACTTGAACCTTTTTTTTTTAGTTACCGAAATTTGTTCTTTAGGAACCCACTTGTATTTTCCCTTTGAAACACCTACCTTTCTGTAATAACAATTCCTCACAGTATGGCCAATAGTATTGTAGTAAAAACAACCATTGATTACAAGTTTGCTTAAATCAATAAATTTCTTAGATATAGTTCTTCCACTCTTAGCCTTAAAAGCAATTCCTTGCCTATTTATAGCTCTGCCCTGTGACCTCAACACAACATCTAAATTTTCTCTACCAAGTGTAAATTTAGCTAATGTGTTGGTCAGATATTCTATTTTTTCAACATGAGCATTTCACTTTTCACAATCTTTTTCTACAATCTTAATTTTAGTTTTAACATTGTTAGCAGATTGCAAAGCAAGATCAAGTTCATTTTTAAGCTTATCATTATCATCCACAATGTTATTGATTCGATATTCAAAGTCTTTTCTTTCAGAGTTTAATCGATTAACCTTGTACTGGAGTCTCATTACCTTTGCATGTATCTCCTGAAACACGTCCAACAATTGATAATAAATATCCTCAATAGGTTCATTCTCAAAGTCGTTGTCGTTGCTTTCTGAGCATACAGATCCACCCATGAAGCATAAATTTGACTCTTCTTCTATGCTTTGATCATCATCACTGGATGAGTCACCATCACTATTCTCCTAAACAATGTAAGCCTTTCTCTGCTTACTTCTTCTCTTGTCCTGAGTATACTTTACATCACCCTTTTTCTTGTTCTTCAAGTCTGGACAATCTAGTTTGATGTGTCCTTCCTTCCCACACTCCTAGCAAGTGACAATGGTGATCTTGGGATTCCTTTGCCTTCTTTAGAGTTTCCTACAAAGTCAGTTACAACATTTCTATTTTTCATAAACTTGGTATATTTCTTTACCATCATATTCATAACTTCTTTTTAAGAAATGTCTGCATCAGAATTTGCATCTGATTTAATTCTTCTGAAGGTCTTATTGTTGATAGCTTTGAGGGCAATAGATTGTTTCTGCTCAGTCTCCTCTTCTTCCTTCAATCTTCCCAGCTCCAGCTCATGTTCCCTAAGCTTACCAAACAGTGTAGCCATATTCATAGAAGTTAAATATTTGGATTCACATATCGCTGTTACCTTTGGTTGCCAACTCCTGTTGAGACTCTTTAAAATCTTGGTGTTGATTTCCTCCTTCTCAAAAGCTTTACCGAGAGCCATTAAGTGTTTAACAATGTGAGTAAATCTTTTTTACACATCATAGATGGTCTCTCCAGTCTTCATTCTAAACATCCCGTACTCTTGCACAAAGGAGTTATTTCTTGCTCTCTTTACTTCATTTGTACCTTCATGAGTTACTTCAAGTACTTCCCACATCTCTTTGGCACTCTTGCATTGTGATACCCTGAAAAACTCATACATAGTAAGAGCAAAAGATATAACATTTCTTGCTTTAAACATCATATTGTGCTCTTATGTTTTCCTCTTGACTCCACTAAGAAAAGTTTGTCAAAATAGGTTTTCAATCAATTAATTTAGTGGGTTCAAAGGGACCATTCAAAACAGCATCCCATACACTTTTGTCTACTAACTCAAGAAAGATTTGCATTTTGATTTTCCAAAGAGGATAATTTTCGCCAGCAAACAAAGGTTGTTTGTTTGTGGATGCACCTTCACCGAAGGTTTGAGAAACAAAACCCATTCCAGGATCAAATAATCAAATATACAAAAAGGGTAATCGATTTTTTTTCAAATAACTTTTAAAAACCAGCTCTGGTATCAATTGTTCAAATTAATGAACCTTGTTTCTCAACACCAAGAGGGGGTGAATTGGTGTTTTATAAAAACATGCACTTTTTAAATATTTTTCGCAAATTAGAATGATCTTGAAATCTTTCTTATGTAGTAAGCAAAGTATGTATGCAATGAAAAATGTAAAGAGATAAGGAGAGAGGATCAAACACAGTTTTTATCCATATTCGGCCTCAATGCCTACATCCAGTCACCCTCCCAATCAACCTTAGATTGGAGAGTATTTGACTATAATGATCACAGTATTACAACTAAGGCTTTACATAGCACACTCAAATGTAAACACCTTACAAACTCTTAATCAAATATAGAACAGAATACACCTACAAACACAGAACCCCTTGTCCTTATTGCACAAACCCTTTGAAAATCCCCTATCAAAGTCAAGAGCTCCTCACTCTTCTTCCTTACTCACACGTCCAGGGAAACAACAAATCAAAAATTGTAAAATCTTCTCCTGATCAAACCATAGCACCTTCAGTCGTGCTAATGTGATAAGCTAATACAGTCCAGTCAATTGCCTCTCAAGAATTCCTCAAGATTCTTCGCGTTC